CTGAGGGAACTGGGTTTATTTAGTCGGTTGGAAAAAAAAAGACTGATGGGGGAGATTTGATAGCCTTCCAATACCTGAAGGGTGGCTCCAAAGAGGATGAAACTAGACTGTTCGCAGATAACAGAACAAGGAACAATGGTCTCAAGTTGCAGCAAGGGAGGTTTAGGTTGAATATTAGGAACAACTTTCTCACTAGGAGGGTGGTGAAGCACTGGACGGGTTACCTAAAGAGATGGTAGAATCTCCATCCTAGGAGGTTTTTAAGGCCCAGCTTGACAAAGCCATGGCATAAATGATCTAGTTGGAATGATCATGCTTTTTGCAGGGATTTGGACTAGTTGACCTCCTGAAGTCCCTTCCAACCCTAATTTTCTATGATTCTATGATTATGGCTATGGGTTTGGCAATAAGCGTCAGCCTTGCAATTTTGCTGGAATTCAAAAATAAAGTTTCCACTAAAATTCATTTAAGATCAGTATGTGTAAGAGGCTTTGCTTTTCTGTGAGTGTTGACTATGCTTACTCACTACTTGCCAACCTACTCACTCCATGTATTGCGTGTTTACTATTTGCAGCTAGTGCCAGGTCTGTTGCTGTTGAAGAAGGAATATTTAAACAAATATTTCATTTCAAGCTGCGTTGACAGGTAGTGGGATGAAGTCTGAAATGAAGGGGATGAGATGGGGAAAGGTATGTTACAATTTCCCCTCAATATCAGGTCCTTAGCTTTGCAATTGTGAGCTCTGGAGTTTTGTTTCCTGCCCTGTATTTTCCACTTTCATATATAAAATGCTTTGGAACTGTGATTACTATTCTTAGAGAGGCATGGTAGAGGGATGGAATACTAAGAGAAATGCATCTTAAAACATACACTCACAAAGTCTTATCAGTATTGGACATACATAATTTTTTCTTGCGAAGTTTTTGCTATGAAATTGGTTGTCACACAAATTTGCGTGCTTCTCCTTGCTGAATTTTTTTAAACCTACTATATTACTACATTATTTGATGTCCATTTTAATGTTCCTTAAAGATAAAGCACGTATTCTGTGCTAAAATTTCATGCACCCTTTTCTTTGGTTTAACTGAAGTGAATTCTCATTACAAAGTAGATTTCACATACAATTTATTAACTCAGTAAACTCCACCCTGATGAAAATATCCACCTGTAAGCATGAAACATTCTTTCCTAATTGAATTTAAATACTACTCCCCCAATGCACAGTCTCCTAGGAAATGGAAAGAGCGTGATCAATCTATGTAAATCACTTTTGTTTAATGTACTGTTGCTTACTTGACTATGAATTTGTTGGGTAATGAATTACGAGTGAAATAGATGCACTGAAATATAAACTGGCCTTCTCTTGACTTGCTTCTTAGAAAAAAATATCAAACCTTTGTGAAAGTTGGAAAAGAGTCTCTCTCAGGTCCTCCACCTCAATTTTCCCTTCTGCATAATAAGGATACTGCTAACATAAAAGGTTATTGGGAAGATCAATTAGCTTGCACAGCATTTTGAAGAAGCCATGAAAGCTAAATAAGTAGCAATGTTGTTTTGTACTAATATGTGCAATCCATTTGCACCACTGGAATTGATAGTAATCAAGATATGTTTCTTACTTACAGGCTAATCACGTAAGAATTGTCCATGGGCATTTATAAAAATGGACAGTGACAGTGCCCACAATTTAAATTTAGTTGGAAAAGTCTCATACAAAATTAGATAGATAAGGAAATGCTAAAGACTGACAAAATAATTTCCATTTGTAAAACACTTAAAAATAACTTATTGAATACCTTATTTAAAAAAGATATCAAGCTGTTTTGTAAAAGCTTAAGTTGAAGTATTTGGGGACTAAGTAGAGAGAACTGAAAGAGTACTGGCAAAGATCCACAGGGATTTTCTGTAATTCAACAGAATTAACAATAAAATCTGTATTTAGAGTACAAAGTATCTAAAATAAGAACTGTTTCAACTATTATGTGTTTGAAATCCCCTTGTGGAGCCTGGCTGGTATTAAGCTAGGTTTGATAATGATGGAGTAAAGTGTAGATATATGCACTGGCCTAAGACTTGGGGAATACAGTAAGCTGTAGCAAATAGAGAATTTCCAAAGGAAAGTAAAGAGCCTGAAATATCTGGACACTGATGGTTCCTGACAAATGAACAGGCACTCTGGAATAATTATCTACCTGGAACACAGAACAGATACAAAAGAAACCAATATGATCCAAGGTGTAACTTGCATGAGCTCCTTTTTCATGAATGAAGACAAGAACAGCTACTTTTGTACCCACAGCAAACTGGATTCATTTCTGGAAGAAAAAGGTACAGAGACTGAGCACCAGGCGAAGTTACTGAAAGAAACTGAGGAAGAAAAGTGTCAGTAGAAATCCTGGTTTTCTCCGATTAACAAAAATCCAAAATTTTCTGATTTAAAAACCCCCCCAAAAATCCAATCTACATTTTTCCAGAATTAAAATGAAACACCACTATTTGTATATAGATAGTGTTGTTTCATTTTAATACCCCCCAAAAATGTGAATTCTGGGTTGTTGGGTTTTTTTTAAATCAGAAAATTTTGGATTTTTTTATCACAGAAAACCAGGATCCCTACTGATAAGGCATAATGAAAAGACAAAACATGCCATTAATAATATTCACCTTTTAAAAGAGGCATGATAAGACTACAGCATTTAATATTACTCCCCACAAGAGAAATCTCTAGAGGTTTCCACTCCCTTAATGTATTCCTCATATAAGAAACATCACTAAAGAGTGCTGACCTTAATGTTTTCCTGTCATTAGCAACTGCCTTGCATGGAAGAGCTTGGCCTGCTTTCCCACTCCAAGTATAACAAATGAGACTGAACAGCAAGAGCAGAAAGGGTGAGAGGTGCCAGTCTGGGGATTTGTTCTCCAGAACACATTCATTTGCATCATGATGTTTTGAGGGAATGTCAACGTGTCATTCATAACACAACATCATCCCTTGGGGAAACAGAAGGACAACTAGAGAATGCAAGGATTTGGCCTTAAGTGTTCTGATCAAGTGATCTGCCAATTTTCAACCTCTGGGTTTCTGAAACCTATGTATATAGTGGTAATCACAAACAGGTTTACTGGCATACCTTACTGCAGTTTGGGCTTTGCTGTACTCAGAGATTCTATGGCCATTTAATGTGATGCACAATGCAGCTCGCTTTTCAAAACTGTACTCCTGTATATGTGCTTCTCTTTTCAAGACAGCACCCCTCATAGAACAGAGTGCAAGCTGATGCAAGAAGTCTGCCCAAGTCTGCAAGTAGACTGAGACATTACCTCTAGAGGAGACATAAATTGTCTTTTAATTCTAATGAAAACAATTTCAGTAGCAATATCGTTAACTATTTCATTGCTGACCATTTCTGCTAAGGTGCTTGTCCTATAAATCCTAAACCACCTCCAGTAAAACGAAAAATTCACTAACTATCCCACCTACCAAAACCTCTGATTTCTCCACCAACTCATGAAGTTAAGCTATAGGTTTTCAATGCACAATTATGCAGCAGAGTGAAAATAAAAAATATAGTAGAAGTATAAAATAAATCAGAAGAATGTCGCATTAAATGCCATGAATGCTGTGCTGCACAATTTCTTTATTTTTATATTGAATGAAATGAAAAAAAAACCTTATTTTTTAAATCTTTCCATGAGTGCCATAGAATTTCCAGTGTCCTGAGCTAGAAGGCAACAGAATCCAGGACT